TAGTGCTGAGACTTTAACCCCCGCACCAGCAGGGAAGCCCTAGAGTTCTGGCTTTTTAAAAAAACATAGTAATTGGGCCTCCCTGGTGGTCTGCAGGTTAAGTCTCAGAGCTACCACTGCAACAGCCTGAGTTGGATCCCCAGCCAGCTAGCTAGCCCACATGATACAGCAGACCCTCCTGTCTTGCCCTCTGCTCCCCTTAGCAGCGTATTTCAGTAGATCTGCCTGTTCTGCTCCCTACTCTATATCTCTGGTGAATCCTCACACACAACACCCTCCTCTGGCCTATACCCCAGTTCTTGTACACAAAAATAAATAAAATCATTTAAAAAAAAAAAGGTAGTCTTTTTGTCCATGAATATGGTACAGTTTTTTCAATTTATCTAGGTCTTCCTTAATGTCTTTTAATGAAGTTTAACTTTTTTCCCTGTTAAAAAGGTCTTGTTTATCCTTTTTTTTTTTTTAAGATGTATTGGGCCTCCCTGGTGGTGCAAGGGGGAAAGATGCAACCTATGAAGCAATCCGCAACCTCTGCAGCATGAGTTCAATCCCCAGCTGGCCAGGTAGCAACCCACATGGCACAACAGACCTCTCCTGTCTCGCACTGCTCCCCTCAGCAGTGTGTTTCAGTCAGTCCACCTGGTCTTTTCCCCACTCTGTCTCACCCCCCACACCTCTGGCCTGTACCCCAGCTCTTGTATGCATAAATAAATAAATCTTAAAAAAAAAGATTTATTTATGCATACAAGAGCTGGGGTACAGGCCAGAGGTATGGTGGGTGAGAGGATTCACCAGAGACAGAGTGGGGAGCAGAACAAGCAGATCTACTGAAATACACTGCTGAGAGGAGCAGCGGGAGAGACAGGAGAGGTCTGCTGTGTCATGTGGGTAGCTCCCTGGCCGGCCGGGGATTGAACTCATGCTACAGAGGCTGCAGATAGTGCTGTGCTTAACCCCATGCACCACCAGGGAGGCCTTAGTTTATCCTTTGCTTAGATTCATTCCTTGGTTCAATATATCATATCATTTACGTTATTAATAATATTAAAGCACCCTTGGGTTTCTGAGATAGTCACTTTGTTCATGATGGAGTATCTTTTATATGCACTATTAGGATTTGACTTAATATTTTAAGATTTTTTAATCCATGTTTACGAGTGAGATTAGTCCATATGTTTCTTTTTACTTTTCTCAATTGTTTTTGGTCATAGTAATATCACGACATGTATGGGATTGCGAGTACGGTTGTATTGTATACTAGGTCAAGGATTGTTTCTGCTACTTCTGTTTGCTAGAGTTTACATTGGATTAATTTAGTCCTGAAAAGTTGATAGAATCTTCCAATAAAACATTCTAACATCAGAATTTTTTGGTACCAAGATTTTTAACTCTAGTACTGATCAACTTCTTTAATGATTATAGAACTGTTCGGACTTTCTATAATTTTATACACTCATCTAGACAAGTTGTTTATAGTTCTAACTTTCAGGTTGCTCTTGTTTTGATACAGAAGGATGTAACTTTTTTCAAAATTCAGTTTAAAAATGGGGCCTCCCTGTGGCGCAGGGGTTAAGGCTCAGCACTATCAAATTATCACCAGTCATTGCAACATGAGTTTGATCCCTGAACAGGGAGCTATTCACATGGCACAGCAGACCTCTCCTGACTCACCCGCTGCTCCCCTCAGCAGTGTGTTTCAGTCAGTCTGCCTGTTCTGCTCCCCACTCTGTCTCTGGTGAATCCTCTCAACCCCCACACCACTGGGCCTATACCCCAGTTCTTATAAGCATAAATAAATAAAATAAATCGTTTAAAAATTCAGTTTAATTATGAAGTTCATTTAAAAATTAATCTATAATGTAAAACTTATAGTAGGAAGACTTGTGTTAGTTTAGACTTACAGTTTCCCAGGACAGAACTTAAACTCTATTAAATATGGTCATAATAGCGCTTCCAAGTGGTTGCACCAATTTCTGTGTCATCAGTGCTATTTGAGAATTCCTGTTGTTTGACACTTTCACAGGTATCTGGAGTTTTACTAATGTCATGCCTTTGGAATTGTAGTTTTAAATTGAAATTTTCTGCTTACTGGTGTTGTTGAACATCTTTCCCTAGGTTTATTTGGCATATGAGTTTTATTCTCTGTAAATTGCCTGTTCATATCTTTTGACCATTTTCTAGTGTGTGTTTGTCTTTGAATACTTTGTAGGTATTTTAATATATTCTGGAGAGTAATACTTAGCAGTTATATGTTCAAATATATTTTCCCATTTTACTCCTTGTCTGTTCAAAATTTTAATTTGTGCTTTATGAGGCACAGACATTGTTAATGTCGATATTTGAAATTTATCAGTCTTTTTTCTTTGGGGTTTGTATTTTTGGTCTTTTACTTAAAGAAATCCTTTATAACCCCAAGATTATAAAGATGTCATCTAATAGTGTTAAAAGTTTATCTTCCCCAATTGCCTTTTATCAATCTGTAATTGATTTTGTTAGATGGTATAAGGTAGAACTGTAACTTATTTTTTTCTCCACATGCATTGATAACTAATTGTGCCTGCCACATTTACTGAGTGTAATTCCATTTGTCACATATCAGCTTCTCTGGCATGTATGAGACTGTTTCTGGGATTTCTTGATAGTTCCTTTGTTCTGTAAGTCTATCCCAGCTTCAGTGCTGCAATAGTTTAGTTCCTACACCTTTACTATAAGGCCTGATGACCATGAGGGTAAGTTCTCTTCCTAATTCTTCTTCAGGAATATCTTGGCTTCTCTTAGCCTTTTATTTTCTACATGAATTTTAACATAAACCTGTCATGTCCTTTGAAGAATGCTATAGGGATTTTGGTTGAAATTTTAATTTTTATAAGTTTGGGAAGGGAATGATATTTTTTATCATTGTGCATTTTCTCACCCATAAACATGGTGTAGCTCTGTTTTTATTTGTTATCTTTTTTTTATGGCTTCAATAGAGTTTTGTAATATTTTAATAAAAGCAAGCTTCACTTGTATTAAACTTATCCCTAAATATTTTTGGGTATCTTATGCCATCTTTTCCACAATTATACTTTCTATCTGATTAACACAATAGATATTTGCATGTTAACTCATGTTTTATAGCATTAAATTTTTAACAGCCCCAATATTTGAACAGTTCTAAAACAGAAATTATCTATGTTGTCGATAAACACTGTAGTATTGTCTATTATCAGCAAACTAAAATAAATATCACATGCAAGTTAAACGCTCTTCAAGAGGTGCAAGCTGCCTTTGTATTCAATGGAGAAACAACAATTAAGGCAGTTGGGAAGGAGACCCTGGGAAGAATCGCGGAGGAACTGGTGGAGGATGTATCATTTGAGATGGCCCTTAATTTGTAAAAAATGTAGACAGAGACCTCCTTGGTGGCACAAGGGGTTAAGTCACAGCATTATGAAGCTATCAGCAACCACTGCAGCAAGAGTTCAATACCCAGCCAGGGAGCTAACCCACGTGGTGCAGCAGACTTTTCCTCTCTCGCCCTCTGCTCCCCTCAGCAGTGTATTTCAGTCAGTCTGCCTGTTCTGTTCCCCACTCTGTCTCTGGTGAAACCTCTCACGCCCCCCACACACACCTCTGGCCTACACCCCAGCTCTTGTATGCATAAATAAATAAATCTTTAAATAAATAAATAGACAGTATATTGAAAGAGTGTCAGGACAGATGGAGGGCATGGCATATGCAAGGTATAAATGTTGAAACAAAGCAGGTTCAAATGATTCTGTTGGGCAGGAGCATATAAAGTATATAGTTGTACATGGGGTATGACCAAAACACTGATAATGAAAATGGAAATAATAGCTCAAAATTCAGTGTAAGTGCTATTGTCCATGGAAACCATTTAATTTTCGAGTGAGAGAGTCATACAAGCCACTTGCTCCTCTTCTATACTTTGTCACGACTATTGAGTTCTAGTTCCTTTGCCTCTGTCCAGCATGTCCACATATCAAAAGTTCAGCCAATGACAAACTTCCTGTCTCCTGATCTGCCTACTGGAGAGCTGTCCAAAGTACAACAGAAACATGGACCCTAGATTCTAGTAAATGCACCCACTTTGTGTAAATTACCATCAGAGTCCAGATTATTGAGGAGAGGCTATTCAGATGACAAATACAGATAAGAGGCCATTGGTGGACTTCATAACTGTGGGGAGTTGTGATTTCAAGGTATTAAGAGAGAACAACTGTTAAGGGAAAAAATGGTTGCAGATAGTAAATTCGAAGTAGTGAGCTAGGATAATCGACTGTAGTTAGGCCGCTCAGAACTAAACCTGGCTCTGGTGTGCAGTGCAGGGTGAATCACAACTAAACAGTTAGTTTGAGATGATCAGGCCTTAGAAAAGCGATTCCTCCTGGTGTAATGTTTAAAGGACAGGACCTTCAGGTTGTTGAGATGAGCCTGGAAAAGTTGTATGTTTAATGGGATTGATGTTTTCTTTTAAGGTCATGGAAGTAATCGGGTGGGGGCAGGGGGAAGACAGTACCCTTGGCAGGACTCTTAAGGTCCGAGGGAGCTGGCGCCCGCTGGGGAATCAGTGATAGGAGGTAGAGCAAAGCTTTGGGGTTTTGCTGGGGCCAGGGCAGAGCAGTACCAGGCTCTATGAGTATGGCACGGGGGTCCACCTCCTAAGGAGGTCGCCTTGGGATCGGCTCCCCTTCCCCTCCAATCCTGCGGACCTCAGCGACCTCCCCCGGGACGGGGGCGCAGGGTGGAGCCCCGGCGGTAGGCCCGGCGGCTGCGGGAACTGGTTTCGCTCTTCCCTGGCAGGTGCGTGGAGAGAAGGCGGCGCGCGCAGGAAGGAGGCGTCCGCCATGCCCGGCGCGCAGCTCCCCGCCGCGGCTTCCAGACCGCCGCCCCCGCGGACAGGCCGGCGACAGCCCCAGTGAGGAGTGGAAGAGGCGCGGCGGAGCAGGCGCCGCCCCTTTGGCGAGCTTCCCGACCTGGCGGCCTCCGCGGGACCCATGGCGGACTCGGCTCCCGCGCCCTCCCTGCGGGCGGGCGGCCCCCGCGCGCCCCGGCCCTCCGCGCCCTCGCCGCCCCCCGGCTCGCGCTCGGGCTCCGAGTCCGAAGAGGCCGAGCTGTCGCTGAGCCTGGCCCGCACCAAAACCCGCTCGTACGGCAGCACGGCCAGCGTGCGGGCGCCGCTGGGGGCCGGCGTCCTCGAGCGCCATGTGGAGCACCGGGTCTGCGCCGGCGACACGCTGCAGGGCATCGCGCTCAAGTACGGAGTCTCGGTGAGCAGGGCGCGCCGCGGCCGGGGCTGGCGGCCACTGGGGGTGCTCCCAGCGGGGTGCGGCGTGGAGGGAGCCGGGGGACCGTGGAGGCGGCCGTCTGGCCCCCGGCGCTGCGCGCCCCGCGCTCCCCGGGCGCGCGCTGCGGACGACGGCTGGGCGCCCAAGCTGGTCCTGGAGCCCGAGGGGCGGGCCTCGCCCGGTCGGGGCAGCAGATCCCGGGGCTCTGCCCACTCTTGGACCAGATCTGCCACGTGAGGCAGGCCCAGGTGGACCACTAGTCACGTTCACACAATTTTCAGTCCCCACCACACTGCTTGCTGTTCTAAGATGGGGATTTAGGCAGGAAATTTTGTTTTCTGTCTAAACAAGCACTGTGATGAGTCAGGCATGGTACAGTTGCGCCTGCTGGATGGTTCTGGTTCTATCGATTATGCTTCTTTATTTAGAAGTGAAATTATACCCCTGGGCTCGCTGGCAACTGTGAATGTGACACCTGTCGCTAGGCAGCAGCCAAGGACTGTGGTCTAGGTGAGCTGGAGAGCTGTGTTTGTTATAAATTTATAAGTGTATATGTCTTAGGCCTATTGCGTTACACCTCCTGGAAGAACATGAAAACCTGAGGGAACATACTGTTTCATTGAAATTAGTTACAATTAACTCTAGCCATATGAGGGCCATTTTGCATTTGAGTTCTGTGTCAGTTTTCAGCGTTCTTTCCTGAAGCACCTTACACAGCAATGGGAAGAAAGGTGATCTTTATCTTTCTTTTAAAGTGGAACTCTCATCCTCCACCCAATGTCAGAGACTGAGTAATCTATTTTGCCCTTTTGCACTGGTGTATGTTTTCCTAGCAGATCCTTCTATCACTTAAACATTTTGAGATCAAGAATCTTACTGTGCAGGTGTGTACTGACATAATCCTGCCATGGATAGTGCCATCTTGCCCTCTTGGGAGTTTCTAGAGATGAACCAACACAGAAAACATAGAAACTACAGTTATTATGTGCATTAATGTTACCTCAGCTAGAGGAAAGCAAATGGGAAATATCAGTAGCTGCTTCTGCTAAATGCTGCTGTGTGGCAGGCATTGCACTTGTCTTGCTCTTTATTCAATTTGATTTTTCTGATAAGTCTTGGAGATAGGTGTAATTAACCTCCTTTTTTACTGATGGGAGAAAGGATGAGTGGTTAGGATATTTTCCAAGTATGCTTAGTCATTTAAACCAGCTTGAATTAATATAATAAGGCATTGACTTTTCTCTAGATATGACTCCTGATTTCTACCCTATTTTTGTTCTAGTTTTAGTAAGAGCTGTCTTAGCATCTTGGTTACTGCTTTGTATCTTATCAGTTAGGCCAGGAGGACTGAATCAAAGAATCCATGGTATCCAGAAAAGTGTTATTTTCCTGGTTCCTACTCTCCAGTCGCTCTGCCCCTCCTCTATGCTCTATAGTTTTACTTGAGTTACTAATGCTCCTAAATCCCTGCTCGCTGTACCCCACCTTTCACCAAATGATTTCTAATCCTCCTTGGGCCTCCCTGGTGGCGCAGGTGATTGAGCACAGCGCTGTGAACCTTTCCGCAGTCTCTGCAACGCCTGTTCGATCCCGGCAGGCAGGGGAGATAACCACACAGTGCAGCAGACCTCTCCTGTCTCGCCCGCTGCTCCCCTCAGCAGTGTATTTTGTCAGTCTGCCTGTTCTGTTCCCCGCTCTGTCTCTGATGAATCCTCTCACCCTCCCGCGTGTCTGGCCTGTACCCCGGTTCTTGTATAAATAAATCTTCTAAAAAATGATTTCTAATCCTCATTTTCTTTAATATAGATTCTGTTACTCATAACCTTATCACCCATTCCATTAAAGTATAAATGAAATTTTTATAACTTTTATAAAGATAATTTTTTAAGCCACTGAGTTCAAGTATAATAAATTAGGGATTATAACTTTTAGTCAGAAATAATCTATTACAGGGTTTCTCAACCTCAGCACTACTGATATTATAAGCCAGATAATTCTTTGTTGTGGGAGTTGTCCAGTGATTGTGTTACAAGTCAGGGAGAGGTGCACCCCAGATCCCCCCAAAACCTGCCTGCTCTAAATGGGTTCTGCCATCCGCCACATCAACACAAAACATAATGAGACTTTAATGGGAAGGAACTTTAATACAATTAGGCAACAATACAGGAAAGGCAAAGAATCTAGTTTCTAAATCAAGCACCCAAAGTTACCCATCCCTTCCTGGGTAAAACTCCATTCAAATGGGATTGGCCCAGAGCAAGGCCCCAAAGCCTGCCCCAAGTCCAAAGCGTCTTCCAGTGGGGAACCACAGAAAAGGGTCAGAAACAAACAGACAAGCCCGGAAGGAAAAGAGCAAAATCAAAATCAAGATAAAAGCTGCCATGGTCACCTCCCCACGGGTCTCACCCACATCTGTGTCACCCAGTCCACGACCAAAAGGCAAGCACAGTTTCTTCCCGTGTTTCTAGGCTCCATGTGCCTCCTCCAGGTCTCCTTTTGGCTCGTCCTGCTTCCTTCCTCAGTCTCCTCTGCAGTTTCTTCCCTCCTTGCTCAGCTCCACCCTCCCTTGGGTGGGGCAGGAAACCTGGAACCTCCCCCTTTCCTGGGGACCACCGTGTTACAATTGCAGGATGTTTAGTAACATCTCTCGCCTCTGCCCACTAGATGCCAATAGCACCCCCATAGAGTCATTGCCATGTGTTCCCTGGGAAGAGAGACTGTTGAGAACGGGCTGGTCTATTATGCCTATATCATTTGCTTTGAGCCCTAAACTATAGTTGATGAATTTTTTTTGTTTCATACTCTCCCACTGGTCATATAGAACCAGTGAAAGTGACAATATCATTAGAGTGAAATTATATTCTTACATTAGTTAATATCTGCAGATTTAATTGGATTTACTCATTTTTAATGGAGATTTTAAAGGAAGCTAAAAGGCAGATGATTATTTTTCTCTTCCTCATTGAACGGGAATGAGTTAAGTAAGTTAAGTCTATAATAGTCACCCTTGATCATCTACAACTTATTTAAATTATTGTTTAAAATAGGTGACGAGGGCCTCCCCGGTGGCACAGTGGTTGAGCACTGGGTTGCGAAGCTGCCCGCAGCCTCTGCAGCGCCGGTTCCATCTCCGGCTGCTCCCCAGCCACCAGAGGAGGGTCCCACATGGCGCGCAGACCTCTCCTGCCGCCCGCTGCTCCCCTCAGCAGTGTACTTCGGTCCTTCTGCCTGCTCTGCCTCTGGTGAATTCTCTCACCCTCCCGTGCTTCTGACTGTACCCAGTGCTTGTATAAATAAATAAATAAATAAATCTTAAAAAAAAAAAAAGAATATTAAAAAAAAAATAGGCGACGAAATGTTGGAGATTTGGAGCGCCAAGGCAGTGCACCTGAAAAGTAAGTCAGTCCAGGCGAATTTATAATAGTTATCTTTAACATCCCATATCTGGGGAGAGTAGACCACAGTTCTGCAGTCTTACAGTAACAGGAACTCTCAAAAAAGCCTGTCTGCCCATGTCAGCTCCCCAATCCCCCAGCTGGGAGACCTTGTAGGACTTCAGTCCTTAATGGGGGAGACTGGTAAAATTCAGTAACGTATTAGGTACCATGAGGTTCCAGAACAGAAAGTAAAGATAAAGACCTGGTTGCTAATCTTTGTACCAGAGGAACAAGTTGGAAACTGGTTATCTGAAGCAGTATTCAAGGGCTAGCAGCAGGGTACATCCAAGCTGTGGGACAAAATGTGTTCTTCAAACTTACCTGGATAGGAGAATGCCCTTGGACACACTAAGATGAAAGATGCTAGCTGGCCTTAACTCTGCTGGACCAGACTCTCCAGAAAAGGCGCCCAGGCATATCTGTTTTACAGGCATGGAAGAGCCCTGAATTTGTTTTAATGGCTGTTGTTGCTGCCTTAAAATTTCAAAAACTTGTGATCCAGGACCCCACATTTTCACTTTTTACTGGCCCTAAAAATAGTGTAGCAGATATTAGCTGTGTGACTTGCTTCCCTCCCCCTTCTTTGCCTTGTTTTCTCATTTATTGGATTTTTTTTTTCTTTCTTTCTTTCTCTTGCTTGCTTGCTTGCTTGCTTGCTTGTCTTTCTGGTGACATGTTAATGTATAAAATCCATACCTTTATGGTGCTTGCATTTTAGTCAGTGGAGGTAGTAAGTAAACAAACAAAATATGTTCTATGTTAAGTATTGTTAAACAAAATGAAGAAAAAAATTGAAGGGAAAGGCGATAGGAAGGGCTGGTGGAGGTAGCTGCACTTCCAACCATCCTGGCTATGGAAGACCTCACTGAGAAGAATGTAAAGGAGGGAGCCCTACAGAGAGGAACAATGAGTGTGCAAAGGTGGGAACTTAATGGACGAGTTCCAGGAATGCTGTAATGTGGCTGGTGCTTTGATTGCACTGGGGTGTATTTGGACCAGATCACTAAGGACCTTGAAGGCACTTTGAGAACTGCCAATTTTTGTCTAATTTGGAAAATATTAGAGGGGTTTGAGCAGAAGAGTGACATGATATGAATTGCGCATGGAAAGGATCACTCTGGTTGCTGCTTTGAGAATAGGCTGTAGGAGGGCAAGTGCCATGGCAGGGGGATCAAATAGGACGGAGGCTTTTGCAATAATGCAGGTGACAGAGGACAGTACCTTGGACCAAAGCAGTAGAGGTGGAAATGGTGAGATATAGTTGGATTCTGGATGATTTGCTGATATGCAATACATTTTCTGCTTGTTTACTGTTTAGTTTGAGTACCTCTGCCCTAGTGAATCAGGACCCAGGGATCTAGGAATCTAATTTATATGGAAAAGAATATGGAGGTTCAAGAACCTGGCTAGGCCTAACACCTGACAGACCCTAATTCTGCTGGGAGTGACTTAGAAAACATCTTAATGACCCTTACCACCATCCCCTTCAAAATCTTTGGTAGTTGGGCCTTCCTAGTGGAGCAGGGGTTAAAGTCTCAGCACTAT